CGCGCGAATCTATACACGCATACTGATAATCAGTAATAAATATGCAGTAACTCTTTTCGACAGACTTGATATCTATTCGTTGGAACATCTTTGAGTTCACACAGCGTACGTTGATGAAGTCAAAATGTATTTATGCGTAACCGTTCGAATATCGTGTCGCGTCGTTATCATAATGCGATATTTATGAATATGTTTGTATGGCACAGGTATTTTTTTAATACATGTTGATCTGATAAAAAGAACAAACTGAAAGACGGAACCAATTATTTTACACGAATATAAAATCTAACAAATGCAATAAAAAATGACGTTAATAGTAATTATAATTGGGTTTGTCGAATTCAAAACGCTCATGAGTTATAGACATAGAGTAGGCCGTTCAAGACTATACGTTTTTCAGAAAGTAAATTTAAGCGAATTCGTTGCTTATTGGTCAGTTAAAAAAGATTTTATCAAACATAGTCTGTCACGGATAGATTTATTTTGGGCGGTCACCGTTATTTATGTAAACTTATAATGCATGCAATAAAAGCAACGTATTCGAATTTTCTTTAAGCTTTTCTAAGCGACAACTTAAGTCCACGGTGATGCCATAGCATGCAAAAGAACAATGAATAAGAAACGATGACATTTTTATACACTTGATATTATAATATTATGTCACTACTCGCTATTAATCAAACGCAATAGAACTTTACAATACAACTCATGAATTATTCTACGTGTCTCATATTTTTTTTTTACTCTCGTGCTTCATATGTTTAAGCTAACTATGTTTGTTTTATTATATTTATTTTTAATTATACCGTTGACTTAATTTTATTTATGTAGTGTTGATCGAGACTTGTATCAACGTCCAAAATAAAATCGTAATATTAGTTTTATTTTTGTTGATGTCACACTGTGACAATTCAATTAATAAATTGCGTCAAACTAATGTAGAAAATATTTTATAATAGGTTCATTTTTCAGAAATAAAATAGAATACAAATATTTTAGTAAGAAAACAGTTATTGAAGCAGGTGATTATTATGTTGAAAGTTATAAAATAATAAATAAACACAACGAAACGGATCATTAGTATTATAGTATCTACATTTTACCCACTCATCAATTAAGAACTACATCAGCTAATAAGATTATAATCTTTATTGGTGCTGCAGCTGTAACTTATACTAAGCTTGAAGGCATAATGCTGATAGTCTAACCAAGGTTGATGTTCTGTTTTAATACCCAGATGTTATTTTTTAAATAATCTATTTGTTATACTTTCTTTACTTTTTTATTATTACTCGAAACAACTAAAATTATTATTATAAAAAACAAAAAAAAAAAATAAAAATCGATGATATTTTCGTTCGAAATTTATTATTAAATGTTTTCAGCATCATTTTTTTAAAGTACAGTGTCACTTTAGAAAAATAAACTTATTCAAACAATGCAAAAATAAAGTATAAAAATTATAAAAATTTCACTAACTTTATTTTAGAATTTGGTAATTTACAATATACTTTAAGATTACATATTTTCCCTACAAATTATAAATTGTTAAATGATTTGCAAAATTTAAAACGTAATTTATTTAAATACTTAGTAGCAGATCAGTATATAGTGTCCCACCAATTTTTGGAATTTTTAATAACTTTTGACCTAGCAAATATTTTTTTATTATTTATTATGTTATTTTTTAAAATAATTTTTACAGTTTTAGACTACGTTAAAATATTTAAGAAATCAGTAGTTATTAAAGATTTCAAAACCTGACGGTACATTTTTATGGTCTTAATAATGTAATACAATTGCCAAATGAAAAATAAAATACTGTTCAATATATAATAATAATTGATTCTATGTAGTTAATATTATTTAAAATTAATAAAATACTTAAATTATGTTGATTTAAAACTAAAAGATCATAAAAATAATAAAAAAAATCACGTATACGTATTTTGGGAACAATGTTACAATGTCATCATCAGCGATAATCACATACTTTTTTTTAGTATTTATTGTGACTTTTTAAGTAAAATATTTTTAATATTTTTTAGTTTTTAATTAATATTTAAAATACATTTTTAATATTAAACTGTCTAATTTTTTATAAAAATGTAAATGTCCACAGGTAAAATATAGAACTAATTCATTAAATTTTTATAGAAATATCAACCCAAGTATTTATTTTCAACATATAACATTCACTTGATCAACATATATAACATCAATATATATAAGTACCATTTTCGGGGAACTCAGTACAAGTATAAACTAGTAAGATTTAAAAGTAAATAATTACTGTAATTAAATTTAGACGTATGGTGGCAAGTTAGAAATATAAGTAACATCCTTAGGATAAAAAACATAAGGTATCTGATTTGTAAGTCAATTAAGTTATTAGATAGGTTTTTTGATTGTACTCATTTTTAAAGTTAATATTTAGACAAACACAAAAGTTTGTATAACATACCTATTGTGTTCGTTGCTGTAATCTCTTAATAACATAATTATCGTAACGCTGTAGAACAACACATTATTAAATTTGTGGTATTTGTTTGGAGGCACCGAAAATTATTATAGACCGTAAAACCGATTAAATTAAGAGAATTAGAGTTTACAGAAAATGCCAAAATAACGTTCTGAAAACTCTTCCGGAACGAGGAAGACAAGTAAAACCACTTTGTTGACCTGTCAAGCTATTCGTTATCAACGTTGGCCACTGTATTTGTCCCATTATTCAAAAGCCCTTTTAGTGTTACCTATACAAAATTTCATTTGTCGCATACATTTTCCAGCAATAAAAATCTTCCGACCGCTAAATACATATAATACCAAATAAATTCCGCAAAACATGTCAGCGAGTCGAATAAGATTATGTCACAGGACTTTTATTATTCTTTAAGAATCATCACTTCAGAGCAATATGTAATATGTTAAGCAAAAACAACCATATCATTTTCAAATCATACGTTTAACCGTTTAAAGTCACGTCAAAGTGGCATATAATATTGTGCACAAACAATTTAAACAAATCTGAATCATTTAAAATATTTCATACCTATTCAACTAAACTAAACTCAACTGTCGCAAAATGTGAAAAAAATTGGTTCACTCAATGAGTTTTTCATAGAAATAAATAAATTATTCACTGATAAAAATGAAGAAAGATTATCTATTTATTAATTAAACGGGCTTAACCCTTTTTACATTAATATCTATTATATTAAATATGACCTTTTTTAGTATGTTAATTATAAATATAATAATGAATAAACTATTTTAATTCTATTATTAATTGAAATTTTATAATTTATTAAGAAAAAAAACAAAAAGAACGTTAGTTTTTAGCTCTTGGTATAGAACAGTAAATTAAATAATTAAAGACTTACATCTGATTCATGAGAGCATAATAAACCATCAAATCAACATAATTTACTTTTGTATTAATTTGTAATTGTGCATTTAGATATAGTAACCAAAGTATTGTAAATATATAACGTTTGGACAATATCGGATGGGACTTTTCTGTTCATTTTGTGGTGGCGGTGCTGTTGAGGTGTTTTCATGGATCGGAGAAGTGATAAGGAGTAATAACGGGTTATTGGTTATGTTTTTATGATCATCACACTTTTCTTTTTTCTAATATTAATTAAAGAAACTATAAGAATTTCATGATGCATAAATAGATACATTATTGAACTACATATGAGAAACGTTAAAAAATATGCACGGAAGTCAACTATATTGGCGGCCGAACCAAATAAACACGACATCACTGAAATAAATGGAATTAAGAACTTAAACGTCTACTACTAACACACAGTTCATTCACATACTACACAACACATTACAATTAATATGTTTATTTTTATATGAATATTTTTATACATTTTTTTTATTGCCAAACTCAGAATGCTATAATTTTTGTCTGCTGTTAGCAAATTGTAAACAAATCAATTTTTATAAATTTAAAATAAAATAAATACCATTTTAATTATAAAATACAAACTATAAAATTCTAATTGAACAGTTGAACTGTTTTTGAAAACACAAGACTATTATTAATATGACTCACGTCAATTTAATATTTGAATGCGATTGTAAATTCATTTACAACACTATTAAATTATTATTACAATCAATTTACAGATCATTAAGAATCACACAAGAATATCAATGGTTTTTTCAGATATCATAAAGTTTTAGTAGCGGCTTGAAATATCGATACGATATAGTAATGAAAAAACTAAATCGTATAGTTCGAGAGAAAACAATAGAAAATGTTAATAAGGTACAAATTATTAATAGTAAATATAAGGAAAAGCATAGTAGATAACATTGTCATTTGTAAATTTAGAAGTAAAATATTAAGCTTAAAAAATCTTACAAAAATTCATATCCTAGTGAAATATTCACAAAATCATAAACGCACAAATAATATTGTTAAACTTAGTAAACTAACATTCATGTAATTCACTGTTTTTATTGTATTCTTAAGTATTCTAGGAAATTGTGGTTAAATTCTACACTAGAATGAACACTAATTTCATTTATAGAATAAAGGATGATTATATATTTATATATATATTTATTTTTTTAATAAAAATCGAATAGCTAGCGTTAAAAGAATATTTTGACAAATTTAACAAAACAACAAATATTGATGGAAATTATTTAAATTTTATTACACAATATAAATGTAAATAAGTAGTGGGTATATCAACACAGAATTCTATTATTTCTAACCCAAAAAACAATTACAAGAACTTATATTTGTTGAAAAAATATACAACTTAAAACAAAATCCATTTTTTTATAAAGCCGTTGTAACAGACAACGAAGGAAATGAACTCGAAATTTTTTTATGTTTTACATAATATCCTACTGACAAGTATACATGTACTAAACAAATAAATAGTATTAACATGAAATATACCAGAAATATTTAATTTGATTTAAATAAAAAGAGAGATGAACTTAAAATAAGAAAGTTGATAAAAACTTACGAGCTAAATATTTTAATTTTGACTTGAATTCAATGCGTTTGTCACTTACCTGAAAAATATAACATCGGTAAGTATTTTATCAAATAATATTTTTAATAAAATAACAAGATCAATATACTACAAGTATGTAAGATAACATGAAATATAAATTGTATCGTTTTATTTAACATTTTTTATAAGAATGATCATTGTTTTAATGAGTGCCTGTAATTGAACTTAAAAATGCTAATAGTGTTATAATTTATATAAACAATAGATTTTAGATCTCATTGGTAATAATTTATCACGCGTCAAAATGACTAATAAATTATTGAAAACTTTGGTTTATTGCATTTTTAAGTTCAATTACAGGCGATCATTGAAATGATAATAATATTCATGGAATATGTTAAATGCTTACAATCTCAAAAGATAGAACTAAATTGTGTTATTTACTGTACATTTTCACAAACTTTAAAATGCTATAGAAAATTAATTAATTGCTGATAATAGTTTTAGTCATATTAGCTTAGTAAATAAGTTAAAATTTGTAAATCGTTCAGATAATTTTTTTTTTAACACATTTGTGTCAAAAACAAATTATCTCAATAGAGTCCGAATTTGTATTTTTTCTCTAAGATGAAATGATTTTTTCTTAAATTGGTATAATCATAGTCGAACTAGTTTTATTCATTTTCAAATCATATACACCGTGTGTGATTTCTTTATGTAATAATTGTTTTAATACTGTTAGAATTACGAAGACCTGTATTATTGATGTTGAAAATATCACCTAAAATTACCTTTCACTGGAATCTTCTACGATACAAGATTATTACACCTAAATGACTTTGCACTAGAATATAAAATTAATAATTTTGTTTAACACTTTTGACGATATCGATGATCACAAGATCTAAATATTCATTTGATTCACCAATTTGTTAGAGGTTTTGTAATTAAACCAATGTTTTTTCATATGCCTACAAAAATCTATATTTCTTTCCATTTTCTTTAAAGGTACTAAAAAAATATTTTAATTTTATCAAGTCCACTCTTCCGTAAGTCGTTTTTACCTAATCTAATACATAATTTCATCTATTTTACAAATGTATTATAACTTGATATATTTCAGAAATATTACTTTGTCTTTGTTGGATGTCAATATTTGATTTTCCACCTTCAAATTTGTCCTTAGTTTTGATGTACTTTATGTTTATATTTTCAAGTTGGGCGTGCATNGACATTAGGCACAATATTACTAAATATATTTTTACAGTTCGATTTTTTTGAAAGTTTTGATGTACTTTATGTTTATATTTTCAAGTTGGGCGTGCATAAAATAAAAAGGGAAAACATTTCTTCTTTTTTTCACGCTTTGATATTTTTAAGTAATAAATTTACTGAAATTCTTAACGACGTCAAACTCAAAAGCATAGCAGACGTTGGCAAAAATGTACTGAACGTTGACATTTCGAAATGACGGAGAACGGTTAATGGCATAAAATAACCTATAACATTATTAGCCAACGACTGACACTTAGTCTAAAATAAAATAAAGACTGAACGTGAATTATTTTATTGAATGAACTGAATCTTTTATAGCTGTTCTATAAAGTATTCTGATAAAGAGAAATATATAATCTTAAATAGTTATGAAAGTCAATCTTGAATAATCAGCATTTTTACGACAAGACTAATATTGGTTAATAAACTTCTTTGTCGCAAAAAATGTATGCAATGGGTTATTAAAATTTGCTGTTTCAACATAAAAATTATATTGATATACGTAGAAGAAATTTAAAAAAAAAACATCAATCTGTCATTAAACGTTTGATTTCTATGAAGTTTTTGTTATTTGTTTATTACTACTGTAGATTTGTGTTTAAATGCTTCAGACGCTAAAACTAAATATATTTTCACAATTTGCTCCTTACTTCCGTTGAAATGAGAAAAGTTTTTAATAAATATTTTCGATTGAGTTGTTTTTTGTAACCAACTTTATAAAGATATCGTATTTGTTAAAAATATACATTCGATGTAAAATTATTTCAATTTGTATCACGGTTTTGAGTGATTATAAATAAATTAAAATTTGAAATATTTCAAAAAGAAAAGTTCGTTTTAAATACATTACTTAATAAATTTAAAGTAATTTTTAAATTAATTAAGTTTGAATAACCATTATAAAATAATTTAAATATGGCCATTAGTGAAAAATAAACCAATTGTATGAATTAATATATAGATTAGTAAATTCTAGCCAAGTATTCAGTTATGGTCGTTTTACTGATTGAATTTATTAAAAGCGTAAAATAAAAATAGTAAAACTTTTATGTTGTCAAAATGTAGATTGGTAAACATGCATTGATGATAAATGTAAATTGGTTTTATAATAGTAATTCGTAAATCCAAAACTTTTTCAATAATTTATGATTTTCTAAACAAACCCTTTTATAAACAGTTTTTTATTTAAGTTGTAAATGTAAAACAATACATCTAATATCAAAAATACATACTTGAGCATTTAAAATGAATAACATTATGTATAAAAATAGATTAATATATTTAATTCAAATGTTACCAGCACCTATAGATTAGCATCAAACATAATGGTGTATATATTTTACAAACATGTTTTTTATGTTCACATATAAGCCATTATAACTACACAATAACTAGTAATTTGCCACGTATAATGGCTCAACAATCCATTAATAGATTTTTTTATGTTTTTTTCTAGAAAAAACAACACCCTGGCGGTGTACTCGGACTCGTCAGCATGTCATAAACAGCATTTGAAATAAATAATAATGATTTTTTTCAGCTTTATCTGCTTATATGATCGGTCACATATGTGTACATGATAACTAAACGCTAGAAATATCGAGGCCCGAAGCCATTGATTGTCTACATGTACGTGTAATAAATTCAGTCAGTAAAATAACGAAATTGAGTGAAGTTGCATTTAGATCATACTTTATAAAATAGCTAAAAAGAAAGTGATGGGCGTCATGAATTTTAAGTCTAGAGTGTCAAGATGAATATAAAGTTTTGTTGAATATTATATTTACATCGACTATTCTAGAAAATCAATAAAATGTTTTTTATAATGTAGAAATGCAACGACATTGTACAGTGATGAAGACACCTACTTAGTGTTACACACATGCTTGGCAGATTTCTGGAACATAAAATCACTTAATGTGCTATAAAAACGATAAAAATGAATTGTACTAATACAGAAACCGACTCCGAGAGCCAAATAAATATACAGGAGTTTATTATATTGAAAATGAAAGCGCAATTATGTAAGATTAAATCGAATAGAACTAATATCTCAGATAATCGATTTGTAGATTAAAATTTTTGCATATTCAAGACAACCAAATATGAACACTTGAATAACTACGAAACAACATGATTCTACATATTATGTAAAATTACTTTACAGTACAGAAATAAATTGGTTTTAAATATACAACTGTTTTCAGAAAATCAAGACAAATTTTAAAAAACTTATTATGTCTATGTATATAATGGAAAGTAAAATACCCAGACAAATTTTAGTTTGTAAAATCTACTTTGCTTTAATTAATAGAATGATGAAGTATTAAGTTCTGGAACAAATGAACTTGACTAGTTAGAGAACAGATGAGCTTAAATCAAAACAAATTAAAAATAACTTATAGTAGATTTCAACTTTATTGAAAATAATAAATAAATTATTATACACTTTAAACTTGTAAATAATTAATATATTAATTTAATGAATTATTATAAAACTAGAGTAAATTTAAAATATAATGTATAAAAAATCAAGTTTCAACAGTAAAACTACTAGTTTTGGCATCATCACTTTCTAAAAAATTAAATAAAATTCATACGAACTAATAAACTATTAAGTAAATGAAACACGAAATAACCACAAAATTATACACAATGTAAAATTAGAAAAAAATTAAATCTGGTAAAATGCACTAGGCAATTAAGTATAAAAATAAGTAAAACGTTTGATATGCGGTCTTTTGATGTTATATTTTATCATTAATTCTTTAATATTGAATATGATTATTTCTTAAAAATATTTAAGAATATATTTAATATATTGTTATAATTATAATTTTTTATCTCATTAAATATTTTCATCTATTTTAGTGATGTATAAATTATTTTAATTGTGTAAAATTGTACAATTGATATGTTTATTGTCTATAACATTTATTAATAGTTTATTTTTTTGTGCTAGTTTTATTCAATTTTTTATCTGATGATAGTGCAACACCAAAACTAGTATAAATTATACTTTTACTTTTGTTTATTTATTTTAATAAATAATTATATAAATTAAGCTCGATAACATTACCCTAGCAAAATAATTCGGAAAGAACAGAATTTTTTTTAGGCCTATGTGCAAATTTAAAAAAATCAGCATTTTTTTAAAAATAAACAGCTACTACTGCCATCATTTATCGACTTAATACCTGAACATTTTACCAGGCTCGGCAATAGATGTTCTAGAGGTAAACTGAACATTTTGTTGAAATTCGTTGTTGTTTGACCAATTTTGAGCTTTTTTTTTACGCTCGGCACGCCAATTGCACTGCACAAATACTGGCTGTAAACAATTTTTTATCCGTTTAGCTCACATACTGTAATCTATATGCTACAAGGAAAGTGGAAAAATCCGATATCAGGCAAAAATTATACATGCTATGAGCGTTTAAAATTTCTTGCATATCATCTAATTATATAATAAAACATTAAAAGATTTACCAGCACTAGAAAATTATTTCAGATTTTCAAAATTTTTTAGTTTCGATGTGAAGCTGAAAAGCTATTAATTTTACCATAATATTTTTATACGTATATATATTTCAGTCACTACTCTTTTTTTTGTTTTCACTGAACCGATTTTTTTACGATATGTCAAAAGATCACATATAACAATCATATCTAATGTAATAAATATTCGTGTAATGAAACAACTCGCTTAACATATGCTATATTTAAATCAAGAATAATACATTAATTATAAACCTTTTAACATCAAATTTTACAAGATAATTT